AATGTCTAGTCGTTAAAAAAAATCACCCTGTATAAGCACGATTGTAAGGCAGTTCTTTACGTCCGGCGACATCATTACGGCATGGAAGGAGACGTTGACCACAGATCATACGGTGTGTATGATCTGTGGTCACTGCTTTTTTTTGTACGAGAATGAGCAAACATTTGATAGCAAATAAAATAGATTTAGCATTCACAAAATTCGGCTTGTTTACTTGATTCAAATCAATATGTGATTTGATTACACTTATTTTGTACCCGCACACGCCTACTTTATTTCCTAATGAGTTACACGTGATAATTACATTGTTTTTTTTTTGTCGTGCGAGGTTATCACAATTTATTATTAACAATCGGAGCTATGCGATTACGCGGAGGAGGCGCATTTGAAGATATTCAAAATTATTCTGAATACACAAACAACTTCAAACGTTTTGCTGTTTGGGTCCTTTCCTACACGCAGGACCAATAATAAAGCCAAAACCTATCTCTATCAACTCAACGCGCAAACACGATGTGAAGCGTGTCTGCGTACGTTGGAAAAGAGATACCGGCGAGGCAAACCATAGCGTCGAATGTCCATGGATCAAAATGTCCGTGCACCGAAATATCCGCGCACCGAAAAGTCCCACACCGAAAAGTCTTTGCAGCAAAAAGTCCGTACACTGAAATGTCTGTGCACCAAAAAGTCCGCACCGAAATGCCCTACAGCAAAACGCTCTACACCGAAAAGTGCTAGACCCACTTCGGATGGGATCCTCCGTCACCTCTGCCGGTTTACGAACCATAATGATTCAGAATGACTGGTCTATGGAACGCCGCTCGTACTTCCTGTTGTCTCCATGAATCTCTAAACAACGAAAGATGCCAAATCAGATATTTATATTAAAATTGATACTTCAATGACTACTACTTTGAGCAGAACAAGGTATTTGTGCTCTCACAACAGCAAGAATCGTCCTCCAAACAAATGCTAAAAAAGAGCCAATGCAACTCGTTGGGAAGAGCTAGGGAGCCTTCATGTGCCAAGCTCGCTCAAAACAGCTATTCGGTTGGTTCAGCTCCTTGTCGCAGGAGTGCCGGCTGGCATCTGGATAATCTTTTCAAATCCTTGAAGGTTTCATTTCCTCCACCCCAAACTTGTCAAAAAAAGAAAAAAACAGGCAGCCGCAAAAAAAAAAAGAAAAAAGAAAACGGAAATTGGCGAGGAGGTAACGAGAGGCGATTTCCCCCTTTCACAGTGGCGAGAAGGAAAGTGAGGGTCGGGTTCCTTCTGTCTGCTTGCGGGCCGGCCTTTAAGGTAATGTCAAATTTTGTCAAACCAACACAAGATTTTTTTTTGATTCAATGCATCTTGCAACTAATTAGGAGTCAAAAAGAAAAATGTGCATTTAATAGCTTACTCTTCTAGAAACATATCCTGCAAGTTTGAAAATCCCCCATAAAAAAACTTCTTGTTCTGTGGAAACAAAAAACCATAGCCCCCTTGATGGCTGTCCCCGAAGCCCCGACTGATGCGTTTCATGCTACTCCTCCGTAGTGTTGTGCTGAGGTCAGGACCGGACTGCCTTTGCAAGAAAACTCCACTCGTTTTGCTGCTCGTTGCATAAAATCTTGTCTATATGACGTTGATACCCTGCAGATAAAAAAGTAATGTTTTTAGAACACGCCGAGTATCTCAACAGGAGCTCACGGAGGCAATAAATGCACCCAGTGTGCAAAATGAAACATACCGACAGGCACCTGTGTGTACTTCAGGCTAGTCCAACCCACTGCCACTATCAAAACTAAAATCTAATAAATGAACATCATCTTCTGACTCGCTGCTGACACTTTCGTAGACAAAATTGATTGCATATACACCAGGATCGCGAGTCAGGTGATATTTTTGAGGAGTGTCGACGCCGCATGACGAGGACGCCTCGCTTGATGCGATCACTCCGCATCCTGGGACTGCTGAAACTTTAGTTGCGTGAAAAATCGCCTTCTTGCAGAAAAACAAAAACCGAAACTCAAAGTGGAGTTCCTCTGTGGCATCCTACATGGCGGCACATAACGTAATATACCGTGGAAGTGCCCACTTTGTTCAAGCACTCACTATTAACATTTCCCAAACTTGGGAATTCTGCAAATTATACATTAAGTGCCTGATTTGACCGGACAAGCACCCATGTCTAGGTTAAGCCAGTTTTCAATGAAAGTGGGATGGGTATTTACGCTATGCCTAATAGCTAGGGCTGGACGTCGATGGAAATTTTTTACCTGATTAATGGCCACCCTTTAATCGATTAATTAATCTATTAATTAGTTTTGTTCATTCCCAGGCATAATAGTTTAAAAGAAGTCAAAATTAGTACATATTTTGCCTTTGCTCAATATGTGATAACGCAATGTACAATTTCGGATTTTAAATCAATCTTGAAGTGTAGTTGAGAACTGTCAAAGACACCCACACTAACAAATGATTACTTCAGCAGGGGCTAAGAGGTTCGTTGATATTCTCCAAGGCAATAGCGAACTCCTTTGATTCTTCACAGTAGTCTCTGCTAGAGGCCTGCACGGTCCGATATTTAGGAGCCCGGCCCAGCCTGGCCCACTGCCTCTTGGGCCTGAGCCCGCCCGTGGCCCATTATTAATTTCTGACAGCCGGCCCGGCCTGGCGCTAATTTTCACAGGCCCGCTGAGACCCCCTTTTTTTTTCACCCAGTATGAACAGCTCCAACTGTGCGGCATTGCAGCTCGCTTGCCACTGCTACTCATGTTGACTACTGGTGATGTGCGCGACCAAAAAGATCACTGTCATGGGCCTTCCACGATTGGTCAAATGCTCACTATGACGTTTTTAGTAGGATGAGTTCTGCTCTCATCGACAGATATTAGAGCAAAGTTGGACTCTCAACTTTGATAGTGTCGATTTAGGAACGTGATGACCAGGCTTCCACTGCACATTTTACGCACCATCGAACTTGTCGCTCGCTACTAATCTTGGTCGTGACGTCAGTGATAGGAACCATAAGAAGGTGCCACCGAACGTCTCGTCGCCAATAGTACCCAATAGTCAATGCAGTAGCCATCCTTTTTTCTTTTCACTTATGCCGCTATTATTAGTCGGATCAACCTACGGGCCTAGGCAGCTAATTGAAAAGAAATCCCCACCATCGTCTTTTTTTTTGCGATCGGAAAAAAAAAAAAACAGAAAGCAGCAGTAAACAAAACCATGTGTCAGAGTTGAAAAGTAAAAGAAACGTCGCGACGGGTATGGACAAAAGATGGGCAAAGTTCTAAATTGCTGACCCCCACCGTGTACAACCGAAGGAAAAATAAATAAGAAAATACCGCCATCTCTTGCGATGGTCTGCAAGAAATTGTTTAGGAAAAACATCCCTCAGGGGAACCTCTTCACCCACATTGTGCATGCATGCACTCATACATACAGACGGTTTACGCTTGCGAGGGTGCGCATTGTGTAGGCACGTATGTGTGCAGGTTGATGGGGGAAGCGACTCTACAACAGCAGTGCCGACGGTGGCGAAAATGAATGCTGCACTGCTAGTGCTCTGAAAGAGCATTCGCTGCTCCCACACTGAACCATACAAAAATGTATATAAGCACACACACACACTGACGTTTTCAGCATTTGGGTCTCTCCTACTATGGTCCCTCCCCCAACCCCCGGAACAAATAGTAAAAAAAAATGACTGCTAAAAAAAAAAGAAGAATAACGGCCTGTTTGGCTTGCCTCAGCCCGCCTTCTAGACTTGAATGCAAGGCCCGTGCCTGGCCTTGGCCCTTCATGAATCTAGCCGTGAAGCCCGAGCCCAGCCCGTGACCCGCGGGCTGGCCCATGCCCGTGCAGACCTCTAGTCTCTGCTGCGCTAAACAAACACTCGCACAACGTTGAAGTAGCTGGGACACATACAATCTTCTCCGCTTGTTTGGAGTTACAATCTTGCCTTTACAGTTTACTTTAGGTCCAAATTTTAACTAAAGTTTGCCTTCATACGGTTGTACTTGTCCGTGTCTGCGTGGTGAAAGTGTCGAATTTTGACTTTTTTTTTGGTCAAAATTTAACCGATCAACTGGTTAAAAAATGATTGTAATTAAAGCTTTAATTGATTAATCGATGGGTTAATCAATCAAGTGCCCAGCCCTACTGAACCGGCGTTAAATGCATTGAAATAGGGGTTTGAAATTCATCAATCAAATTGATCGATTTGTATAGGCGTAGTAAGGAAAGAGCTAAGTTTGGTTCTCGCCATACTTTCAAACTGAAGGTCTCTGCTGGCAACACTAAAAAAGTGACGCCAGTGGCAGGCACAGGTTCACTGTTTGGGCAGTAAAACCTGTTCCCATGTGATCACAAGTTTTATGGTGTGATAGGACCTGACTTTACCACTCGCTCAGTGGTGCAGATAAGATATCCAAGATGAGTCGAATCTCGTTAATTCAAACTCTAAGGGAACCGAAAATTTGTTTGAATAAAGCAAAGTTTGAATTACCGGGAGTTTCCTTCCATAGGAGACGCATATAATGGGACCTGCATGTTAGTTTGAATTATCCACAAGTTTGAATTAAGAGAGTTTGAATTAACGAGATTCGACTGTACTGTGTTTTCTAGACTGCCTGCTCGTGCCTACCATTGACTTCATGCCACTGAAAAACATGAAAAAATTTGAATGTTTTTTTTGTTTGTTTTTTTGCATTGCTTTTATTGGTTTTTTTTTTCTCAATTTCTATTCTGAATTTAGAGAAACTAAATAATATTCTGAATTTAGATATATGAACTAATATTATACTGGGAAGAAAAAATGCCTGGGTATTCAGAAAATGTACTTACGGTAGTTTGGGTAGCTAAACAAATCGGCGAATTACCCCTTCAAACAAAAGTGCCTTCTGAAACACTTGTGAACCCATAACGTCTAGCTCCTAAAGGCTCTTCAAACGTGTTAGCATGTGTTGGTTTCCTTTTACCTTCATGTAAGGTATCCCTTCTCTCTCTAGGAGGTGTTTTCCGGGTTTTTGTGCCTGTGGACAAAACAGTGTGGCTGCTGATGGTGGAGGTGTGTGCTGCATTGTCCCTTTTAGCCATTGCTCTTCTCAGTCACCTTCTGGGTTTCCACCTGTTCCTTGGTAAGTTGTCTATGCCTTCCACCAAGAAAGTTTGCCTGACAAGTTGCTTTTTGGAATATAAAATTTCCATTTGGTTGTACTGTGAGAACCCGATGATGCACCAGCCCTTTGAAGAAACTGCATAAATCGGTCTCCTAACATATTTATTGCACTATGATTTACTACAGAGGATTTTGTAGGTGATGCATTGATTACGTGAAAGTATGAAAATATGAGCTCCCCCAAGTCAAAAGACAAAAAAGAAACAACCTTTTGTCTTTCCTCTGGAGGAGAGTTCAGCTAAGCCTTTTTTCCATGAAATCATATCATATTGTTGGCCATTGGGGCATTTATTACGACATAAAAAAATGGAAGGAAAATAAAATAAAAATGAATTGCATTTCATCCCCTTGATTTCTTCACATGGAAAAGTTTCAGTGACCTACCATGTCATTTCATGGTTTTATGCAAACCCATAGGGAAATTTTTTTTTTTATCTTTTTTTTTTACTTGGTTGAACTGTTGCTTCCATATTTTTACTGAGAAAATGCACCATGCATTTAATTATACCTGAGTGCTAGTTACATCAAATTCGTTAAGAAACCAATTTATGCAGTTTCGTCAAAGGGCCAATGCGCCATTGGGTTCACATTGTAGTCATGGCGGTTGTAGCACGATTCCCCCGATGTCGTTACGCCCGTTCCAAATACCCCGTGCCATTTCCCCCCGAGTGTCAAAATTCCCGTTTTCAAAATCCCCGTCTCGCTTGCCCCAAGTGTCAATATCCCCGTGCCCAACTCCCCCACTACGCACCTGCGGATGGTTCGGTTACGTGTTTTGCGGTGCACAAACATTTCGGTGCACGGATCGATATGCGTTTGTAATACACGTCAGCGCACAAAATATTCAATGCGTGGTGATTTGAACTTGCAATTTTCCATGGGTTATTACTGAAACTAGGAGTGTTATTTTATAACCTTCATTTTCATCTTCTGCACATTACTTTTTGGCATTTGTTAACGCACTCGTGCCTAATGTTAATGCCCTCGTGTACCTCCGATATTATTCTGCCTAATGTTAATGCCCTCGTGTACCTCCGATATTATTCGACCTCCACCTCCTGCATCTTGACATTGACTGTGAAACATTAATTATTGAAAGTTCCGACCTTTGAAGGTTCTCGAGGTTGTTTTGCATAGACGAACCCTTCGCTTGTGTTTTTTTAGCATTCAATTGTTCTGCCATATTTTTTAAACCTTGTTTTTGTGTTAAGCAGCTGTGTTGGTAGCTTGGGAGAAAAGCTGGGAGAACTGATAAGGGGGTAGGGGCAAAGGGCGCTGAGAACCTCCTGGGTTTGATTCCCACCCCTTGCCCATTTCGATCTGGATGATTTTCGTACCGGCACGCATTCGTGTTATCACTACTCCGTGATGCACAATAAAAATCCCAGGTTAGCGGTTGTACTGCACTGGCTAAATTTCTCATCTACAGCTAAGGGACCGGTCACCCGTTAAGGCGTACCAACATCAAGACTGTATAAACATACAAAGCAAGACAATTTTTGGGGGGGGGGGGGGGGGGGAGGGAGAGGGGGTATAGAAGTATAAAGATTGCTCGTCAATTGCCCTGGCCGGTTGATGCGCTGACCAGTTGATTGACGGCGCCGACATCGTCTAAATTTTCAGACGATGTAGGCGATGTCAGGAACTAAACGTCGCAAGAAAACTTTGCAAAATATTACTATGTCGGCTAGTGTGATAAGGCAGATCCGGGGTCTTCTACTCATGAAATCACTTGACTGTCATGTCTGCCACATGCCTTCATGCCGTGGCTACAGTGTACCGTGGCACTTGCTCCTCTCGTGCCAACCTTCGCCTCTAACCAGTGCACGTGCGTTGAGCTTCACTGCTTTGCGACGGAGTGCTAGGAGCAGCGGCTGGCCTGGGGAAGCACCTGGCTTAGCGCAATAGGCGTGCAAATTATGCTCAGGATTATTACAGGTCGACCTTTGTCTAGGTTGTAGGCTGATCTCTAATTAAAAAGAAACTGAGCCAAGAAAGAGAAAGAAGGAAAAGAACACAGGTCTATATTTGAATAAATACTGTAGTCAGGGTAGTTCCCGTACAGCTGTTGATCAAAAGAGCAGGAAACTTTGACTTAACTCTGGTTCCAATGCCACTAAAGAGCTGTGTCACCTTTAAAGAACGAGTCTTTCATTATATTTGTGGGTGATTGTTTTTTTTGCCGTTTAATTAAAGTCTTGAGTTTGGTAGGTTCATAGAACTTGGGGGACATGTTTTTATTGATAGACGTGTTAGCAGATATGTTGGTTCCTGCTGGCATTTTGCAGTAATTATATTTAAAGGTTAAATAAACTATGATGCGTAAAATGGGGAAGGAAGAGAGACTTCATCGCAACTGAGATGTTGCACTATGATTCATTTTTCAACCGTTTTTAATACCCATGCAAATGGGACCTTCTGTGACGAGAGCCTTATTTCTAAAAATAAGGCTATGTGTTCCTTTTGCTCCCTGTCTAGTACTCTTACCACAAAAGGTAATAAGCAGTATGCTTCAGAATTAGAGGTACCCTCAGTTATTATCATAATCATAGATCATTATCATAGATAGTTTATCATAGAACTCAGTTAGAGATGCAATCTCCTTTTCATTTTCAAGTGATAGGATAATAGATGTTGGCATCTGCTCCAAAAGTGTCAGTGGTTGCTCCAAACCAATATCTTGCCTGCTACAGAACCTGTTGCATAAGGTTAAATGCCGCTTCCATCACTGTGTCAGATTATTTTCGCAATGTTTTGCAGTGTAACGAGCCTTATTAATTTCGCTTAGGCCACTAAAGTACAGGAAGTTCCCAAGAAAACAGAATCGAGTTTTTCGGCCCGGGTAAATAAACTATGCATCACAGAATGCTCAAACTTTGTGAATGTAATGCTAGCAGTTGGGATAGAATGCAAAAGTTTGAGAACATGACATTGCCTGGATCAAAAAATAAAATAAAAACAAACTTTCTTTATGAGCCGACGTCCACCGAGCCTAATTTCGTCAAAACAAGAAATAACATTGTGGGTTCGTGTAGCATCTATTTTAGTGAAACAAACTTGTCATCAAAAAAGAAAACAATATTCTTCTTGCTGACGTGTTTTTCACTGATATAAATCCCAAGAATTCACAATATCATTTCTTGTTTTGACAATATTAAGCTTAGGTGGGTGTCGGCTCGTATAGAGAAGTTGAGTTTTTTTCAAATATCTTTTAATTCAGGCAGCGTCATCTCAAACTTTTGTGTCCTATCCCAACCGCTAGCTTCACATTCTCACGGAGTTTCAGCTTTCTACGATGGGTATTTTATTTATCCGAGCCGAAAAACGCGCTCCTTTTCTCGGGAACAGTAAGACAATTCTAGGAAGGCAGTTCTAGGAAGAAGTAAAATCAACAATTCCAATGCGAAAAAGAGCACGAGGGCTCACACCAACGCTGACATCACATTCCAATGGTTTCTTGATGTGGGACGCGGCTCTTCTTGCCCACACCCCCTGCGCATGCGCATCACCGGTGGCGTGCTGCTAGGGGCACTCCGGTTAACATGAGTTGGTGTCAAACTTTGAGCAATAAAAAAATGGGTATTAATTATTCTAAGAAAATTTCGGGGTACAATTTTTCTTCTTTTTTTTCTTGTTAGCACTTTTGAAATTCAGAATTTTGTTTTCTGCTTTTTTCTTCTTTGCCCAAGGAAGATGATTCACAAACAATCAAAAACTGCAATATCATGCCTGAAATTCTTATGGCTGATTGTGACCTCTGTCACGATTGCCTAATACATGCCCTAGCATGTGGTTTTTATCGTTATGAGATCCAGAGTAAGGGATAACAAGTAATTACTGTTGAATTTTGTTCCTTTGACAGAAGTGGTATTCTGTCAGTTATGCTGCATGTTGGCTTGGCAATTCATTCATAATATGAACAAAAAAGAATTTTGCATTTAATTCAAACTTCCATTTGCATAATTTGTACAGACTGTGTCAGTTTAGTCACACTTACAGTTTTATATTTGAGTGCTCGTGCACTCGCATATATAATTAGTTCTGGAAAATAATGATAATGATAATTCATTGTTTGTTGGAAGGTAACAAAACTAGGTAATGCATTTGCTTTTTTCAAACAAACAAGTAACGCTAGTTCATGACTTATTTTCGGTAATAGGTGCAACGCTGCAAATATATCCTACACGTCGTTTAAAAAGCAAACAAAAAAACACTGGACCAGCAGAAATAAATTGCCTTATAACTTCCACAGCATAACTCCACTTTCTTCTGTTTCACATTTTGACCGCTAGGTTGTGCCAGTTTGCACTGTGCACTTCAATAGGTGTTAGCTCCCCACTTCTCTTTTTAAAGTCTTCTCCGCTCGGTGGCGTCTATTCCGGAGGTCCGAATAGTATCAGTGAAATAATCAGTGTAAAGAGTTGTTGCTGGGTTTTCCTGTCCTTTGTAGTTTACATTCTGCCCCATTGTATGTGCCTTTTCACTATAGTTTGTATCTCAATTTTTTAATGACTTGTCGGAATATATTAAAAAGCTAAGCACCTTAATGTTTTTATTGATTTCTCTTTTTTACTACAGCAGATGGCAACAAAAAAAACAACAACATTGCTTTATCATTCTTCCTTCTTTCTTAGCTTTCAAGGGGTTGTCGACCTACGATTATATCATGCTCAAGCGAAGTGCTTTATTTCATGGAGCAGCAACTGATGGCACAAAAAACATTTTCCTGAAGTGGTGCAAGTCTAAGGCAAGTCATTACCTCGAGACGCAAAGCAGTACATCTTTTTCAATGCGGTATAATAATATGGTTCACATAATGTAGCCACAGCAATGGTCTTTGCTCAGTCTTGCTTGATTTCCACCTGTTAGGCCAATCAAGTTTCTCCGGCGCAGAACCAGAATAAGGCTGCGTTAACCAGAAGAAATGAAATGCTTGAACTGAATGGTAGCAGTGCAAACAAGTGAGTTCCCACCTTTTTGTTTTCTTTATATGCAAGCACAGTCCATCAAGTTAAAAGACTGACGAATTGGGAATGATATTAATTGGCATCTGTTTTCCTGAATGCAGGGCAGACCCTGAAAATGGAGCTCGGAAAGATGAACGCACTAACAATGTCTTGTGCCCAGGAGATGTCTACGTCAGCAGTCCATCTCACCAGCGATACATTCTGAAGGAGATACAGAAGTCAAGGGTTAAAGTAAGTTTGACAAAATGCCACAGTACCTGCAATATTTTGCTGGTATGGAAGCTGAAGGACGGCAATTGGCAGCTTTTAAAAGCATGGTGACTGAGCATTCTGAGCATAGACGGCGATTTTTCAGGTACCTCAGGCAACAACTAGTTCAGAAACTTGAAAAGGGGGAATGTTGTTGGCTAAATGAATTTCAGCACATCTGGTATTGCAGTTCAATGGCAAGAATTCAGGAATACTTCTCCTACTTCATAGAACATCTCTTGGGATACTTGTATGGACTGCTCATGTGGATAGCTTGGGCTTTTTTTCTTTTACTACCATAGATTGGGCTGTAACAAGTTTCACATCCACAGATGCAATCCTTTATAATTGTGGGTTACTTGCCCTAGTAACATGTTCTAGCCAAACAGTTAGTAATGATGTTTTAAGCAACCTACAATATAAATAATTAATTTCATACTAGTATAGTTCTGTTACTAATAGAGAGTGAATGAAGAAGAGGCTAGGCCCAGGGAAATATTTGCTTATGTTGAGTTCTCCTAAGTTGAAGTCAGCTTGAGGGGGGACATAAGCCTAAATATAAAATATTTTTAAAAAACTCATTTTTCAATTTTGAGGTTTTCAGGTTTAGGAACTAATTATAGACCTTTACACCAAATTTGATAACCATACGCCAAATAGTTACGTTGATATAAAATATTTTCAACATGTGAGGCAGTAGCAAAGTAAGAGTTCAGTGTTTGAATGCATTTTTCTCAGTTCCACTTTTTGGTGCAAATTTCATACGAAGGAATTTATTGTTTGAAGGTGAAAGTATTTTGATACCACAATCAAGATGTTGCTGAACTGAAATTTACTGGGGAATAGGGCTATCTACTTTATTTTGTTTCAAGTTGAATTCCTCAGTGATAAAAAACTAAATTTTCAAAAATTGACATAGGACAGATATGCATCTCATATTTTGATGTAATAACTCTTCCTGAAATATTTACGTTTAAGTTATTAAAACTAGATAGCCCAAGGTCCCATATCCCCCCCTTTATATTCAAGCAGTCAAAATGATGCTTAATATAGCTTCATTTGCATATCATAGATTTCTTAATGAAGAGTGACACATCATCTTATGCAGGCATGTAAATTTGTCGTAAAAAACTGAAAGTTTGCACAGTACACCTACATCTGAAGCTAAATCTCCCCTGCAAATTTCATTCCCATCACTTGAGTAGTTCAAAAGTTCAACCTCTAGCCAGTGTCCCCCCTTAAAAAGTGATACAGTCGACTCTCGATAAATCAAAGCTCACGTGGACAGCAAAACACTTTGAATTAAGCATACTTCGAATTAAAAAGAAACACTCAAGCAGTTTGTTTCTTATTCAGTACTTTCCAGGAGAAGTTGATTTTTGCTTACCTTCGCTAATGAAGACACACGGCATTTCGCTAATGACGTGCAGTATCAACTATGTTTTGTAAATTGCAAACCTTACTCGGGCACCTTCAGCTGCAGTTTCTGCTGAAGGTGCTGCGCTGCTGCTGCGCGACTGCGCTTGCTTCTGTAACTTGCGGGGGAACGATGCCATAATATGTGCACCCGCAGCCATACTGGCTCTGCATGACGTGGCTTGACTGCCTAGTGACTTCACGCGCCGCGCTCGTTTTTTCTTTTTTTCGACCACATACACAGCAGATAAAAGTGATAAAGAGTGCATGGGTGCGATTTAAACTTGGTCAGCATAATCGCCAGCATTTTTTCATGCTCCCATAGTTGCCGGACTTCTTTAAGCATGTAAAAGGATCCTTTGAACTACCCAGTTCCAGAGGTTAAGTTGCATTTTTTTCCCCATAGATTTGTACTTTTTTTATTACCAAGACCACACCTTTGCTCTGAACCAACCAAAACGTCGAATAAAGTGACTTTGAATTGCCGGGAGTCGACTTTCTCACAACTTTGATGCCAGAGCTGGTAAAACAGCCAGCTGAACAGCTGTCCCATTACTGCAATAATTCGAAATGACTTAAACTATGTGTATACAAGCCTAACTCACTGAGCAAAGCATTGCTGCTACTTCAGTTTGGAATAAGCTACTTGCTTTTTCTGAGCAGTTCTTTTTTTATTTTCAAGCATGAATTCAAGACTGGGAACAAAATATGGACTGGAAGGATTCGTGCTATCTGGTATTTGTGGAGGAGGTTTTGGAAAGCCAGGCAATGGAAAGGAATGCACAGAGTGTGGCAGTATGAGCCTGCCCAGCATCATTCAGGCTGGGGCAGCACAAAAGCCATGCGGGGAACCCCAGGTACACATCGCGACACTGTTAGCGCGAACACGACATCGGCGCATTTTCTCATTTTACATCTAAACAGTATTAGCCAGCATGACATTTTATCGCTTACATTATAGAGCTAAATGAGCTCTTTCCGTAGCAATAAGAACTTGGATGACATCCCTTGGTTTCAAAGAGAAAACCTGGAAAAACTGGTGATCGCTTGTTCGCGCTAACGGTGTCGCGCTCTGTACGTTAAAGGCCAACCTGCAAAATATTTTTCAACCAGGGAGAAAATCCTCCTTGCCACCCTTCCCATTTCCTCCTCGCGCTTTTAACTTGACAGAGGGGGGGACCCCTTTTGTTGTTGCATCTTAGGGGCTGGATGAGCCGGGATAAGCTCTGGGTTTGTCCGGCCCCAAGATGCAGCAACAAAACAAGTCCCTCCGCCGTCAAGTTAGGAGTGGGAGAGGGGGAAATGGGAAGGGTGGTTTCTCCCTGGTTGAAAAATATTTTGCAGGTCGGTCTTTAACTAAAGGGGCTGGCTGAACCTAGCAGTGCATTATTTCAGTGGTACAGATGTGCACGGGTGGTCGCAGTGCCTGAAATTTCTTTGTGCCTCTTAAGAAGTACAGAGCGCGACACTGTTAGCGCGAACAAGTGATCGCCGGTTTTTCCAGTTTTTCTCTTTGAAACCAAGTGATGTCATCCAAGTTATTATTGCTACGGAAAAAGCTCATTTAGTTCTATAATGTAAGCGATCAAATTTCGTGCTGGCTAATACTATTTAGAAGTAAACTGCGAAGATGCGCCGATGTCGTGCTCGCGCTAACAGTGTCTCGATGTGTACCTGCAAGACTTGAAGGTAGCATCCTTGTCCTTGCTCGTTGTTCCGCTCGGTTAGCTGAGGAATTTTGCTAATTTGGGGAGCTTGACAAGGTAGTTCTGGGCGGCAAACTGAGAGAGATACATGCTGTGCAGGTGGACCACAGGGCCAAAGTGAGCAAGGCCACCGAAGTATGCGAGCACGGCAGCCGTGCCCCAGTGGTGGGCATTGCCCAGCCAGGTAGCGACTGTGCTCGGGGTCATCACATGGACGGGGTCAGGCTGTGAGAGCGTGCATGTTTGCACTGCACCTACTGCACTCCAGGCCTGTCCAGGTCAGCCTCTGCTGCACAAACACCTCACACGCTTCTATGTCAAGCCGGCTGGGATCCGCGGGGATGCCGGCCGACTACGCTTTGCTTCAGCCTTGCACTTGCGAGCCTCTTAATGGTGGACCTTTTGAAATGCCCTGGCAAGTTCACCTCTACTGGTGTAGGACTGCTGTGTCTGGTGCTAGAAGCTAGATCAGTCCCTGCTCTGGTGTAATTGCACTAGGAGCTTCACTTATAAAATTATGGTTGAAGTTATTTTTCTATTTAATACGGTAATTTTTTAGTTTGTACGCATAATCAACAACTAAAGCCCCACCAGCAGTAAAGCAATATAAATTGAACAAGGTATTTTTTATTAGCTTTAAAGTCATGTAGTGTTGGAATAGTGTTTAATTATTCCAAGTATATTGTCTAAACAGCTCCATTAAATGTTGCACTTCCCCTGCTGAAGTGGTTGCTGGAGGTGAGACCTATGTGGTCACTATTTCGTGTAACTTCCCCTGCATTGCCTACACTGCGTCATGTAAGCAGTCACACAGGCATCCTTTTGTGGTGCCTGCTTCTGCTCCGGGCACACCAAACAAGTTTACCTAAACCAGTGTTGGGAAGTACTTTAAGTACATATTACTTAAAGTGATAGCTACTCCATGTAGGTTTAGAAAACATGTACTTTACTTGAAGTATGTTCTCTTGAGCATGTACTTTTACTTTACTTAGTCTTTTTTTTTCTGGTACTTTCTAAGGAAAGCACAACTCCCAACTTCAAACTGCATTCCCTAAATCGGGTCTTGGTGAAAGTAAGCTCTTTCAAGGATGATGCGCTCGTGTCCTTGGTTTTCCCAGTAAGCTTGAGTCGAACTTCTAACAAAAAAATGGTATATCATCATGTGAAAACACGCTATCGTCTTTCGAGACGATACAATTAAGTGCCTTATAAGTTGATTGTGTTCAATAGCTTGTCAGCGAGAGTAAAACAACTACTATTCGGCCACATTATCCGAAGTCTGCCGCCATTTCCGGAAAAAAAAAACTGATGCACCCCCAATTACCCCCAGGGCAATGCATACCAAGGTCATCATGAAAGATTGTGTTAAAAAGTACTTGTACTTTATTATGAAAGTATTTTGTATTTATAGTACTTTACTTCAAGTACATTGCACCCAGTGTACTTACTACTTTACTTGTACATAACCTCTAATTTACTTTGTACTTTACTTCAAGTACTTTTTATATGTACTTTACCCAACACTGCCCCAAGCTACTTGTTTTCACTTCATTGGGGTCAAATTTATTGAAGAAGATAAAATTTTAAGACTGTATATGAAATACCTTGAGCTTTAAAAAGAAATTTATCTTAAATACCTCAAGCTCCCATGAGTGAGGGAGGGCACTCTTGTTTTGAATAGCATTCTGTGTCTAGAACCGGAGCATTTTGACCATTTATTTTAAAATAATTGGCTGTTTTATATCAACCAGATTCATGTACTGCTCTTCTTAAGTAGATGCTAAAATCTTCTTTAGAGCATGGTTAAAATAAGGGTGGTTAGATTAATGCTGGGTGTCCGCTGTAGTGATATTCATTTAAAAGGAAATTTTGGTTCATGCTTTAATTCTAGATTTTTTCAAAACTGCCAACGTGTGACAAGCTGAAAAGTTGTACTTGTAGAAAGTTCCACTCATGGCGTTTTCTGTAGGCTGTAGAATCCCGCACATATTGCATTTGTTTTCTTATTGGCCTTGTTACCTGTGTATAAGCATCCCTTGTTTTCATATTAGTACAGTAGAACTCCATTGATACATTATTTGAAAGTCCGCGGTAAAAAGACATGATCGGGGAAACCTACCATAAAATCCCGAGAGATAGCCTAACATCAAAAGCAAGTCGGCTGAAAATATGGAGTGGGCTAACTTTCGGTGTATAGTCATGAAAAGGTTTAAAAAATTGCTATTTTTAGGTTGTGTCCCTTCCAAGCCGGATATGGTGGCGAGGGGCAACAAAGCAAAGATGTCTACTTCCCAGTCAGCAACGTTCGCTTTTATCCTGCCATAGCGAACTAGCCGCATTTATGCCGAGGCCATCATTGATCCCAACACTACTATTACTTAAAGTGGGCTATCTTTCAGTGTCAAAAAAATTGTAGCAAATCAAGACAAAAATAGGGGCTGGGCTATCTTTCGAGGGTGGGGCATCTCAGTATTTTACGATATACCGATAATGCTTTTGGGGACCTATAGATGAGACAGGAAGCAACTCTCATGCAGCAGTTTATTTCACATGGATTTTCATGACTGCAGAGTACTGCCATATTTATTCAGATATATGTTGTTGTTTTTTTAATTATGGGTTTATTGATAATCACAACTGAAGAATGTCAACCTATAAGAGTGAGCAAAATTTTTGAGATGATGGAGCTAACCCAGATGCTTCCAGCCGCTGCACCTAGCACGTCAGTGCGAAGTAGTGGAGCTCTATGCGCACACTGGTATGAGACAGTGAAACTTGACACATGCTTGCTGTGCGCAGTCATACGGTGCATGCAGGGCTGGCCCTAGGGGTGGGCAGCCTAGGCTGTCGAGGGGGTGCCGCCTCACACCTCTAAAGTTTTTTTTAGCTTTTTGATTTATTTGAACACGGCTCCCGACAGGACGCTATAGACTCGATCACTGTTTGTTTTCGGAATGTGATTCTCGTCTGGCAAAACGCTTGTTTTGGGCCATTACTCACATGTTTACTAACAAAGTGATGTCGTACCTGGTAGATAGGGACGCATAAAAAGGGGGGTGGGCGCACGGCCGGAGTTTGCCCAGGACGTTTGGTGGTGTAGGGCCGACCCTGGGTGCACGATTACAAACTTCAAACTACACATAAAATAAGACTAGCAGAACCAGGAGAACTGATTAACCGATTTACGATAAGGAAAGAGGGACATTTAAGACAAACAGACAAGACGGGCTTTCGACTTTCAACAATACGTTTACTGACTCGACTTTGCCTCCTGAAGCTCAACGGGGGGCATCAGGGAGGTAGAGAGGGAGGATGGTGGGTGAGAGAAGCGCGAGCCAGCTTGCAGCTAAGCGTGCATACCGGAAGGGGGGTCTGCTCGTGCATAGCGTGCATACCGGAAAAGGGGTCTGCGAGCTGGCTCACGCTTTTTCTCACTTACCATCCTCCCTCTCTACCTCCCCGACGCCCCCCGTCGAGCTTCAGGAGGCGAAGTCGAGCCAGTAAACGTTTTGTTGAAAGTCGAAAGCCTGTCTTGTCTGTTTGTTTTAAATGTCCCTCTTTCCTTATTGTTAATTAATAACCAACACGCTCAACCATCTACATGATTCACCAAGCGCAGCACAAGTGCACAGCTGGAGAAGGAGATGGAAAGATGAACGAGCTATTGGGAAAAAGTGAATTCCTTTCAAGTCTAGTCCAATGTCACGCTTGCTCGGGCAAGAAGCACAGTGCAGAGGCAAAGAATTAAAAAAAGAAGAAAGTGACGGCGGCTGGGCAGCCCAGTATGTTGCATTGGCCGCATCGGGTGTCAGTTTTTGGGCACAAGAACAAGGAAGGCTAACACAACGAATGGCAAATTGATACATATATTCATATGGGAGTTAACGGGATCTGCATTCATGCATATAACAGCAGGGAAAATGTATCGACCGAGAACTTATTAATGAGGTTCTACTGTAGCAGCATCTGTCGGCATAGCATTGTTATCGACTTGCCTTATGATTGGGCAGTGCTTGACTGACTTTGCACAAGTACGTTTAAAGCTGGCATATTCCTCTTTCCTTTTTAGAGCGCAGCTCTTAGGCGCCCGTTTCCGGCTTGAGCGGCGTCAGCGTAACCGCGCGGTGCATTATGGGAAATGTCCCATAATGCATTGCGCGAGCCCCCCCCCCCCCCCCCCCAGGTCACGTGACTCCCCTCCCCAGGTCACGTGACCCCCGAAGTCACGTGACTCCCCTGAGGTCACGTGAACCCTCCCCGAGGTCACGTGACCCCCCCGCTGAGGTCACGTGCCCCCCCCCCCCGATGACGTCACCGGCACCCGCATCGTCATCATCACTGATGACATCAGTGACGTCACTGATGTCGTCACCGGCATCCGCATCGTCATCATCACTGATGACGTCATCAGTGACGTCACTGATGACGTCACCGGCATCCGCATCGTCATCGTCATCATCACTGATGACGTTAGCAGTGACGTCACTGATGTCATCATCCACATCGTCATCGTCATCATCACTGATGACGTCATCAGTGACGTCGCTGATGACTTCACCGACATCCGCATCGTCATCATCACTGGTGACGTCATCAGTGACGTCACTAATGACGTCATCGGTATCCGCATCGTCATCGTCACTAATGACGTCGTCAGTGACGTCACTGATGACCTCATCGGCATTATCATCGTCACGTGATCCCCCAAGGTCACATGACCCCCCCCCCCCCCCCCGTACCCTTCCCTCCTCCTCCTCAAGAGCTGCGCTCTAATTCGGTGTCACAGGAAGTTGTAAACGGCTTTCACTTTTTTTTTTTCTAGGTATACAGTAGACTTACGTTTGGACGAACACCTGAATTCTCATGTATTCCAAACTAATTAGGCCTGTTTGGTTGGTTTCTCATTGAAGCAAAGCAAAAAAATTTATTTGCTTATTGACGTAAACGAGTTTTTGTGCGATTTTGGTTAGCTGGAAAATCCGCAGCATTCTAGCGTTTTTCCAACCCCATGCCCCGTACCCGCTGAGCCTGAAGTGAAGTGGCAGACCCGCAAGAGCTGTGCCAGTGGTTAAGCTGGCGAGCCACAGCCCAAACCAGTGACACCCAGACGCACTGAAGGAATGACTCGATCGTAAAGAGGGGAGCGTGTCGAATTTCCCTTCATACGTCTTGTTACTGGCCAATGGGAAAATATGGATGGACTCGGGTTGTGTTTCAGAATTCACTCGATCTCACTCTAGAGTAAATGTATCATATACCTTGACATTCGAAAAAGCTGCCCGCATTCAGTTTTGCTCTGTCTGCGATCACATGATATGACCCGCCGGAGTAACTCTGATATACCTGAGTAAGATTTGGAATAAAACTTCGCCTGCTTGGCTTGCTTGGCTGCTTGGCACTGGGGTGTTGGCGTTTCGGAGCCTCAGTCATATTGTGGTGTGCTTGGGATACTCTCTGGGCTGATTTCATGATATCTCTGGGCTGATTTTTATATCTTTACAACTTATGACGACCAAATCGCAGAGTATACGTGACTATGTTCAACAGCTGAACTTGTGATATCAAAAAGCC